TCCAAAGCAGGCTCCACGCTATCAGCACAGAGCCCAACGTGGGGCTAGAACCCACGAACCGTGAGATCATGACCTGAGCTGAAGTCAGACGCTTAACCAACTGAGCCACCCAGGCACCCCTATAATTTTTACCATTACAAAGAACCCTGTGGTGAGAACACTATGGTGTATGCACAATCACCCCCTCTTCTACATATGAGGAAAGTGGGGCACAGACATTGAGACACTTTCCTACAATGTATGACTGGCAAGTGAGAGAGCAAGGATGGGAACTCAGGACTTGCCCTTGAAGCAGCATAGTCTGGAGCCTGACTGCCCAGGACTCAGGCTCCACCACGTACCAGCTGGGTGTTCTCCGCAAAGTTGGTCAACCTTTCTGTGCCCCAGTTGCCTACCTAATAAAATGCAGGTGATGGTAGCCCCTACTTCATTGGGTTGTTGGAAGGATTATCTTAATTAATGCTTATGAAGTGTTAGGACAGTACCTGGCACATTGTGCCTCCACATAAATGCCTTGAAAGGGAACCTGGCTGCCCCCCAGCATGGCACACACACCCTGCATCCCTCCAGAAGACAGGCTCAGGGGAGAAAGCTCAGAGATGGGCTAGTACCCAGACACGGGGTGGACCAAAACACTTGAAAAAATTAAAGCCTCAAATTTGGGGTTTAGGAAAAACCCGGCCTTTGGTAGGGGTAGGGTTGGAGGTAGGGGGCAGGTCCGAGAGTGGCCATCACGGCCTCAGGCCCCAAACCTTGCCAGGCTGTTCTTTCCAGATGCTCCCTACCAGGACCAGACCCCAGACTGACCAGTATGGGTCCCAACCTCCCTTCCACCCTACCCCGCCCCCACCCAGCCCAGGCACTCTGGGTTTCCTGCCCGGGCCCCTGCTTGGGGCGGGCGGGCGGAGGAGGGGTGGCATTTCCTGGCGCGGCCGCCGGCCGTGGGCCACGTCACTAGCTCCTGGACGCGCTGTCGCTCGGACAGCGCGCTGACCGACAGGCACCAGATGCTATTTCAGGCGGCGCCCTGCTTAGTGCGCAGTTTCCGTTTTTCCACCGAAACAGGGCAAGGGAGGAGGGTGTAGACGTCACGAGCCCCCACCCTCACCCCGCTCCAGGAGGGGGGGGAGGGGAGAGGGGCTGACGGGGGAGGGTTGGGGGCAGGTCCGTGATGGCTGCCAGACTGTCAGAATCTCGAGCTTTGCGAACAGAGGGAGTGGTGAGCGTCACCTCCGCGCCCTGCCAGGTGACCTGGGCACACTCCTCTGCTGTAGGGCTGACAAAAGCCTTGCCGCCTGTGTTCCTTCCCTACAGCCTAGCAGGGTCGTTGAATGCCCCGTGGGAGAACCCGACAGCTTATAGGCAACCCGCACCTAAACTCAAGAAATTCGAAACCAAATGTAGAATCCTTCCCCATGCCCCTTGGCCTCCAAGGCCCCCATCTCCAGGAATAACACCACCCACTAAGGCAAAGAGAGCCAGCAAACCCACAGAGGTCTTGCATTTCTCCTTCCTTCTCCTTCCTCAAACCCTATGCTACAGTTTTGTGTCCTAAATACATGCCGTCTTCATCTGCCTCTTGCCATTTCGTACCCTAGTCCACTCCCAGTTGGACCACTGTATGGTTGTAGGAACTGGATTTCCCACCTCCCACCTCTTCACCTTGCAGCCAAAGAGCTTTCTAGAAATGCAAACCTGATCCTTTTTAGAACACTACACACACACACACACACCCAACCAAATAAACAAAATGGTTTCCCCCCTAAATCTTTTAAATTGGCCATAGGCTTGCTCCAGCCACACCAGACTCTTTTCTGTTCCTTGCATGAAACTAAAGCCCTTCTTCCGCTTCAGCCCTTGGCCGACGCAGAAGGCTCTCGATGTTCATTCTTCTACCCATCCTCAGATCTCACTCTTAGTTCCATCCAGGCATCATTTTCTCAGGGAAGCATTCCCTGGCGGGGCTTTCTGACATGGGAATGGCCAGCACCTATTTGCAGGGGCTCAGAGAGGTGAACTGACTTGCTGGGCTTGGAACTCAGAATTACAGGAGTCCCATGTTTTCATTTAAGAGGTGCAGTCAAGCAAAGGCACTGGGGACCAGCGGAGGAGAGATGAAAGCCAACCCTGTTGCAGGATGGAAGTGGCTGAAAGGTTGAATCTTGAGAAACAGATGTGAGAAGAGAAGGCCACTAAGGCAGAAGGAGCAGCAGTGGCTAAGGCACAAGGGGGGATGCGGTTTGATAATAGTGGGTGAGGCAGGGCTGGAGCCATGGGGAGAGAGCAAGAGATGGGGCCTAAGAGACCCCAGTAGCCTCTCCTCAGGGTCCCTGTAGAAGGCTGGAATGGCTGGGCCAGGGGATGCCTTGTGACAAGTCCAGGAATTAAATTATGTTTCGCAGAACTTGGATGGTCCTTCTCCCAGATGATTCTGTAAAAGTTGCCTGTATGCACAGGGCACCCTGACTTCCACCAGAGTGCACAGGAGGGAGAGAGGGGACAGCCTGCACTGAATTAACCGTATCTTCGCAGAGTCAGCTTGATGGCAAGGACAGGCCAGTACTCAGACTGTGACCACACTCTGGGTTCAGTCCTTGACTGGGGCTCAGCCGAGGACCAGATGAGGAGTTTCCCCCCAGTTTTCAGGCTAAAAGAAGCTCCACACCAAGAGCTGCTGGAAGGACCAGGCATCCTGGCATGGTGGGTAAACCTGTGGACTGGGAACTGAGTTTGGGTCTCAGCTTTTCCTGGGGTCACTGTGAGCTTTAGCCAAGTCACATCTCTCCGTGCCTTAATTTCCTTCTCTGTAATAATAACCAGAGCTCCCATGCAAGGGCATATGATGTCATCCTGGGCTCTGGGCTGTGTGAGGGTCCATAGATTACTGTTCCCACCACTACCTTTTAAAGGTCATTTAATCCTCACCACAAATCTGTGAGGTAGGTATTATCTTCCCATTTTACAGATGAGGAAACACAGGTTCGGAGCCAAGTGACTTGCGAGATTTGAGCCTGGGCTGTTTCCCCTCTGCTATAAAAGAATGAAACCAGATCCCCTGCATGAGCTGGGCCCCAGTCAGCCACGCCTCAATGAACCCAGATTTCTACCCCACACTAAGTCTTGGCCCCTGCAATGAGTTGAGCGGGGATCTGTACTCCCAGCCTAGGCTCTAGCTGCTCTTCTTCATCTTCTGGTCTCCAGGCGGACGCAGGTGCCAAGTGAGCTTCAAACCCAGGCTCCACCATCACTAGATCTGTAACGTTAGTAAAGTTTCTTTTACTCTCTGTGCCACAGCTTCTTCATCCCTAAATGGAGGATGGTAATAGCACCACCAGCCTCTGAGGATCATTTATGAGAACGAAAGGAATTTGTAGAGTGCTTAGAACGGTGCTTCAGTAGCAAGATTAAACTGTTTAAAATATTATGAGGGGAGGGATGTTCCCAGGCTCTGAGCTGAGCCTGGAACTCAAGCAGAATGGACATTTAAATCGCTCCGTTGACAGCAATTCTGCCTCCACATAGCCTCTGGATGTGAGCTCAGTCTGTGACAAGGGAGGCAAGCAAGCTGTATTTTAGAAAGCCGAAAGGAGCCAGGGCTGAAGGGGGTGGGGGGCCGGCGGAGGGAGCTGGGGAGCTCTCCGCGATGAGGAGCTGCCCATTGAAATCCGGGTGTCTAGGACACTGGAGAAAGAATGAGCGCCGGGGAAGGGTTGGGAGTGATGGTTTTGGTGTCGGAGGCGGGGACCGAGTGAGTGCTGGGATGAGAGTCGCTGAAGAAAGGTGTCTCGAAGGCCGTGGGACCGAGGTTGCGGGGTGCCCGGGTTCCCAGGGGCTTCGGGATCAGAAAGGGGGCTGGACTCGCCGAGCCCTAGACTGCGCGCCCAACTCTCTCCGTGGCGCATTCCGGAGCCGGTCCCAGCGCCGCGCAGCCAGTCCCCGCTCCCTCCGGTGAAATTGCCAAATTAAAATGAATCATTTGGCCCATAATGGCCGAAGCGCTTATCGGGGGCGAGCGGACCCGCGGCAGCGCCTTATCTCGGCGGCGCACACGGCCCCGGCGCGCCTCGGCCCATGCTAACGAGGCCCTGAACGTGAGCGGGATTAGCGCGCGTCGCTGGAGGAGCCTGGGCGCGCGGGCGGGGGACGCGGACGGGGACGGGGGGTGGGGGCGGGCCTCCGCGCTGAGGACCAGGCCTCAAAATGGCCACACGCGTCCCCCCGTAGCGGCAAAACGTGAGCATTCCGGCCTTCTTCTAGGGGGAGGCAACCTGCGGCCTCCCGCGGAACCCCCGTCAGCCCCTCTCCTTTTCCCCCGCTCGCAGAAGAGGTCTTCGCGCCTCGTCCCCGGGTTTCTTTGGATGGGGGGCATTTTCCACCGACGCTCTCCGCTCGCCGCCGCCGCCCCTCCCGCCACGGAGACTCTCTTCCTTCCTTCCCCTTTTTCCTTACGCAATATACAGAAATGCGCGAGGCGGTGGTTGGTTTTCATTTCTTCTTGGTGGTTGTGTGCATGCGGTGGGATTGGGAGTGCGTGTGTGAGCCGTCGGCAATGCTGACTTCTTCCGAGTGTAGGCTTCCCAGGCGAGGGGTTGTGTATTCGAGTGTGGCGGTGTCCGCGCTCTTCGGGTTGTTGATTTGGATTCTTCTAGCCCCTTCTGCCGTTCTCCTCTTCGTATACAATTATGCTCGTTTGCTTTCTCGACCCGGGTCCGCCTCTGGGCGTCGGGTTGTGCGGCCTCTGCGATTGTGTTTGGTGGTTTCTTCGTTGTGTCGGGCGTGTGTGATCCTGACTGCCTGAGATGTACGTCCGTGAGCGGTTGCGTTGGACCGATTTCGTTGTGGCGCTTTGGACAATGCGCGGGCCTGACCATGTCGGCTTGTGGGGCAGTGTTGGGTTGTGTTTCACTCTGCTTCCCTTCTGTGGGGCTGGACCGTGTGTGGTCCTGTCCACACCGGGTTGTGTGCTCGCGTCCTTTAGAAGTGCATTTGCAAATCGCTGGGGGGTGGAGGGGAGGGCGAGCAGGAGACGGAGCCGCAAGTTGAGGAGGCGGCAAGGGGGCGGGGAGAGGGATTTCACATTTTATTCCAAATTATGATGTATTCGGAAGCCAGTGTGGGCTTGGATGGGCCGACGGAGCCGGCGGAGGCTGCTCTGTCCGGAGGCCAGCCTGTGCCCCGGTGGTCGAGGCGGTCGTGAGAGTAGGAGGTCTTCAGGCTGGGAGCCGAGCCGCGCTCGCCAGGGCCCGCGCCTTCAAGCCGGTAGCCGCCCGCCTCGGTTTCCGCCGCACCCAGGCCGCGTCCATTTCTGGTCAGTTTCGTGGGTACCTCCGCCGGGGTGTGCGGGAGAGGCCTGGAAAAGACAATGGGCGCATTCTCCAGGTTTCGCGCCTTGGGTGGGGACCCTCGGGGATAACCTCCAAAGAACATTTCCCCATCCTCTCCCTGGAGGGACATTGCCGCGTGGGTCAGGTACCCGTCGCATCGGTGACCCGGGCCAGGCTTTGTGGAGGGATGGGGTTAGTGCTGCCCTCGCTTCGAAAAAATGGATTCTGCTTTGCCAGTTATTGTGGTTACTGATGTCGTCGCCATCAGCCTCATCACCCTCATCATCATCCTTTTTAATTAAAGTAATCGTTCAGGAGCGAAGCGGCTCGTCCCTTTTAGCTTCTTTGGAGCGATAACAAAGCAACGCGGTTTCCCGACACCCCCCCCGCCCCCACCCCCCGTCCCCCAGCTCTATTTTTTAAGTTGCTGGGCTTGTGGTTGGGAGAGAAAATGGAAAGAGGGACGGACACAGAGACTCTGTCATAAAGCAAAAATTAAACTGGACCTAAGACACGGGAATGAGTGGATTCTCCCTTCTTCCCCCCACCCCCAATCTGGATTAGAAAAAGAGAAAGAAAATCTCCCGCATTGGACTGAAACCGCAGGGAAGAATTATTCCTCTATTTCCACCAAAACTGGGGCAAAAAGGAGTCCTTTGGAATTAATCCAAGGCTTCGATGTGTAATCATAAATTGGACAATTTAGGCAAAACAAATTAAACAAAACCCTTCGGAGGAAAAAAAAAGGGAGGGGGCAGCCTAAATCTCACTAGACTACACCCTGGGAAGCAGTACTGGATTTGTGTTTATCCTGCCTCCCTTTGCCTTGTTTATTACTGCAAGGAATTTATTAGAATTCTCCTTTACTCTGCTAGTCTGAACATTGAAAATCATTGTTTGTGGATGGTTGAAAGGAAGGCAGGGGCTGTCTTTCTTTCTTTCTTTCTTTCTTTCTTTCTTTCTTTCTTTCTTTCTTTCTCTTTCTTTCTTTCTCAGTAGGAAGAAAAGAGGGGATCAAGGTAGATCAAGATATCCCTCCCTGCCCTGCATTCTCTTGGATCCGTGCTGTTCTGACTCCATTCCTGTCGGAAAGTAGCCTTTGGAATTGGGTTCTGGTTTCACTTTGGGCTAGAGGTGGGCATGGAAAGAATGGGAGCCTCGGAGGTTCTGCCCCACAGATCAGGGTCTGAAGACCGGAATCCCCTTTTCCAACACACATTGACCCACCCACCCCCACCGTAGGCTAGGCATTGTGGCTGCTGCTCCCGCCTGAGCCGGGTTCCCAAGCCAGCCAGCCTCAAAGACTTCAGGGCTTAGAGAACAAACTCGGCCGGTGGCGCTGAACCAGACATCCCGGTTGGAAGGCCCGAAAATGTTCTGGCAGTCCGTGGAGAGCTCGTTGTTGTTGTTGGAGTAAATAGTTATTGCTGATTGGTCAGGTGTAGGGTTCTTTTTAGAGGGGGATTGGGGGGAGGCTTCAAGCACCTGCAGGTTGGGGGCAGAAAGCTGTTTGCAATTCCCTGGGCTGGTCGGCGAGGACATGAGGTAATTCCCAGCCATTGACCCCCATTTCTCTCTCTCCCTCCCTCTCACCCTCCCTCTTTCTCTCCACCCCCATCTTTCCTGGAAACTCGCTTTGGGCGCGGCAGACTGCCCCGGACCACACCGTGGCCTAACTGCTGGTCTCTCAGTGAGACGGGGGAAAGCAAAGACCCCAGTCCACAACTTGGACCTTGGCTCCCGCCCCTCTCCGGCGGAGTGGAGATCCTATTCAGAGGGGCCTGTCTCTCTAAATATGCCCCAGGTGAGTTTTGGGGGAACAGTATCGGTGGCAACAGTGTCCAGGAAGACCTTGGGTTCTGGCCTGGGGTGGGGGAGGCTCAGGACAGAGGCCAGTCCGGTCTCCGATTGGGTAAGGGGAGGACGAGCCCAGAGCTGGGAATCTGGGATCAGGATCGGTGCCTCTGTGGTTTCTAGCAGGGCCTTTTCTTTTTTCAATTCTGGGCAAAAACACCTAGCTGGACTTAGCCCCCCAGGCCGCTCCCATCAGTCCTGGTCCTGTGCTTGTTTCACAAGGCTCCTAACTCTGGGGCGGCTATATCCGGGTGGTGCAGGCTGTGTGTGCCTGGGCCGCTGGCAGGAAGAAGGCCCAGCCATCCTGGCTAGTGCAGTCCCTTCTCGGGTGGGCCTTGACCGGGGCCTAAGGCCTAGGGCGGGGCAGCGCAGGAACACCCCTCCACTCTCCTAGTAGCTGGGAAGGTGATTCTGTTCTCACGAAGGCTTGGGGCTCCCGGGGTGGGGAGGGGGGCAGTTGGGGTGTGGGTGCAATATGAAGGACAGGAAGCTAGCTCTTACCCCAGGTACCAGCGGAGGCTGTTTTCATATGAGAAATTTTCCCTGCCCGGAACTGGGAGCTGCCGGGACCCTGTTCCTGCCCGCTAGGAGCTCCTGGGATCCCTGTCTTGTTCAGACTCGAACGGAAACGTTGCGGCCATCTGGCAACAGGAGATGAGAATCCGGTGTTGGGGGCTGTGAGCTGGTTTTGGGCCGCACAAAGACAGAGGAGTTGTCATGGTCAAAATAGTCTAGTGCGATTCTGTTCAAAAGCTTCTCCCCATTTCTTCGTCTTCCCCAAATAAAAACAAATGAACAAAGTAAAATCACGCAGGCTTTCCTTTCAGTAATCTTAACCAAAGCCAAGTGATTGGGGTTAGTCTCCTACAACCAAAGGTGCTTACGAGTCTGCTGTTGGCTTCCTTTGGAGCATGGACCCCTGGCCTGGGTGATCCTGGGTGTAGATCAGCAGCCTGCCGGGTTTTCCTAAGGTCCGGGGATGGGCGGGGAGAGGTCGGCCACAGACCCTGGGGACCAATCATAGGTTTCTCACAGGGAGCCTCGGAGATACAGATATTTATAGGCGTCTGGGGAGGGCATTTGGGGCCAGAGTCAACTCATCCGGAATATGTGCTTCTCTTGCCCCTCGGGGATCAGCGCCTACATGAAGCCTCAGAATTAATCAGAGGGTATAACTGTGTCAAAAGGAGAGCTTGAACTCAGTCTGGTGATTGCAGTGTGCACCATTTGTTTGTCACTCTGGTTAGAAGCTGGGGCTGGAAGCACGTGTCACTGGGCACACAACGGTGTGTGGGGACAGTAAGGTAGGGAGCCAGCACCTTGAGGTTTGTATATTTTGCCACAGGATGGTCTGTTACTGGTGCATTTCATTGCTGCAGGGGAGCCAGGAACACCAGACTGGCATACCTCTGGTGCATTTCTAGTGGCCGCAGTGTCTTGGCAGTCCCATTCTGTGGATACAGATCTATTGTTTCCGCCATAATCGTAAACTGGTTTCCAGTGAAGCCTTTGCGGACCCACTGCCTTTGCAGCTCACGTACACCAGGTCTTGGGGAATTCTCTTGTTTCCGGGGGAGCCCCTGGAGCTGGCAGACCCAGGGCAGAAGTACAATCTGAATGATGATTCTCCGTCAGCTTGTGTGTCTGTGGCAATTTTGCTGAGCCCCAAGGAGGTTTCAGAAGGTCGGGTCTCTCTACTGGATCGGGAGGATATTTCCCAGGCCAACTCCGGTCCGGTCCGGAGCGGTGCAGTGGCAGAATGGCTGCCGCGAGTGATTAAATGCCATCTGCTTGGGGCTGAATTTGACTTTTGTGTATTTTCTACTATAAAATATCCCAGTCGTCTAATTCTGACAGCAAAAAATCTTTCGGACACCTTTTGAAGACTGTCAGGTTGATTAAATATGTATTTTATTAAAACAACTCACAAACATCCCGAAACTCCAGACCCAGAGTCTCGTGGTTTTTTGGTTTTCATTCTTGCGGGGACCTGGCTCCATTGGCATCGAAGCAGGGTGATGGAAGGCCCCCAGCCAGTGTTAGTGGGGAGTGGGGCCTCTGTGGTCACCCTGTGTATGGTGTGGAGGAGTGTCCTCAGCCCCAGGGATATACATGAGAGGGTATATACCAGAGCAGGGCTCAGGCAGTGTAAGATCAGCGTTCTGGTCCTGCTCTGTGGCTCCGTGGCAAATAGGTTCGTGTGACCTTGGGCAAGGCTTTCCCCTGGATGGTCCCACCTTCTTGCCCGTAATAACGTTTACTTGAGCATTTGCATCGTGCTTTTAAATGCGTAAATGAGGCATTGCTCCCATTTCCCAGAGGACACCACCAAGGCAGGAGAGGGGGACAGAAGAGTTCAAGGGCCTCCGTGATACCTCTTCCTGCTCAGGGATGGGAGCCTAGACCCCAGTAGCGTCAGGGGCACTCTGAGTGTCTCTGCTCCGTAGCCCTTCGTTCCAGATCCCACCTCACGTGTGAGTCCAGCGGGGCAGAAGGAGGCAGACGGAGTGTGCGGGGCATAGAGCTAGGATCATTTTCTTCCCTTCCCAGTGTCTCCTCTCTGGTCTCAGCGGGAGTAAAAGGCCACTGGGGTTTCCAGCAGCCGCACAGAATACGCGCTGTATTTGCTTACTCCAGACAGACAACTGCAGGGCCGTTAATACGTGTCAGCAAAGAGCAGGCGTCGCTGCCGGCTGTGGCAGAGCGGCGGACCCCGGGCCCTAAGGCCCCCATCCCCTGAATTCCCTACCTGCACTCCTCCCAGGTTTCTGGGTGCTCGGGTGCAGGCGGCAGGCTGGGCGCGGGTATTGCTTTGGGAGGTTCGAAAAGCACCCCACCTCCGCGCCACAGTTTCCCCGCCAAAACCAAAAGGGGGGCGGGTAGAACATGGTCAGGGGATTTGTTCCCTCCTCTTCCCTTGCGGCCTGAGCGGGGGGACAAGATGACATTTCTTTCTCGCTTCTTTCTACATTTCCTTCCTTTCCCCCCTTCTGTTTTCTTTCGCTGGCAGTATTCCTTTTCCTCCGATGTCTGTCGTGTTTTCCCACCTCCTCAGTCGCTGTGCCTCCCAGACCCCTCTCCCTCCTCCCGCACCAGAGGCTCGCCCTCTCTCCCTCCCGCCCGGCCCCAGCCCCGCCGCTGGGCCTTCAGGCCGTGGGGGAGGGCGTGTGTCCACGTGGCGCTAAGCTGGTCCGCCTCTTCCCACGTCTCAGTGCGTGAAATTCTCTGTGCCTTGCACCCCCTTCATCGCCCCCCCCCCCCGGTGACCTGGGGGCGGTTGTGAGAGCGGGCGTCCGCTTGTCTGTCTGTCTGCCCGCAGGATGACGGAGCGGCCGCCGAGCGAGGCGGCCCGCAGTGACCCCCCGCTAGAGGGACGGGACGCGGCCGAGGCCCGCATGGCCCCCCCGCACCTGGTCCTGCTGAACGGCGTCACCAAGGAGACGAGCCGCGCGGCCCCCGCGGAGCCCCCGGTCATCGAGCTGGGCGCGCGCGGCGGCCCGGGGGGCGGCCCCGCCGGTGGGGGCGGCGCCGCGCGGGACTTAAAGGGCCGCGACGCGGCGGCGGCCGAAGCGCGCCATCGGGTGCCCACCACCGAGCTGTGCAGACCTCCGGGGCCCGCGCCCGCCTCGGCCCCCGCGGAGCTGCCCGGCGACGGCCGCATGGTGCAGCTGAGCCCGCCCGCGCTGGCGGCCCCCGCCGCCCCCGGCCGCGCGCTGCTCTACAGCCTCAGCCAGCCGCTGGCCTCGCTCGGAAGGTCAGGGCTGCGGCGGGAGGGGACGGGGTGGGCGGGCGGCCCCCGGGAAGCACCCTGCCCGGGCGCCCCCGATGCCCCTCGGAGCGACCGCGCTGAGCGGCGGGAGCGCAGGAAGAGAGGGGGAGTCGTAGACCCGTGGGCGGAAAAGCCTGCTTGCTGGGGCCCGTGCGCGAGCGAGACGGGAGTCCTCTGCGGGAGTGTGCGTGTGCGTGTGCGAGGGCCCGGGGGTTGGGTGCTCCGCGCGTGTGCGGCGTGCGTGGGTGTGCGTGAGCCCACGAGGGATCCAAGCCCCTGGGAGTGCAGGCATGTGGCGGGCAGTGAGCAGAAGCGCGCTGGCCGTGCTGGATGCGGGTGATGTGTGCGTGCGTGGTGGCAAGTGGCCCGAAGGGAGTCGCTTGAGTGTGAGTACCGGGCAAGAATGTGTCTGAGTGCGCCCCGCAGTGAAATTCTTCTGGAAGCCGCTGCCCTCAGTGGACAGGTAAGAGATTCGTGATTGCAAGAGGGCTCCCTCCTCGGAAACTGCTCCAGGGCCGGTCTGGGGAGTGGATCCCTTCCTCCCCTCCTGAGCCCCTCGGCCCCTTGGCGGGCTGGGGGCCCTGTACTGCCCTGTCTGTGTGAGGGTGTCCGTTTTCCTGCTGGGGCCCATGAGACGGTGGGGAGGTAGAGGTAGAGTTGGCACGCAGACAGGAAGATGAGGCAGGGGTCGATAAGGTGGGACAGTTACTGAGTCTATGGGAAACCCTGAGAGGGAAGCTATGGAGAGCAGAGAGTGGGTGATTTGGGGGAGGAGGGGACGTAAACAGTGGTGAGTCAAGGTTTCCTTTCTGTTGAATGTCGGCAGGCCCCACGGGGCTCCCGGTGAAGGTGGGGTGATTTGGGGGAAAAGGTGTGTGCCCCGTGAGGGGCTAGAGTGGCACAGCACAAGGTATGAAGGCCACACCTGTCTGGGAGGGGAGGTGTCCGGGGATGGTATGCTTGCATCAGGGACGGGAAGTATGCCTGCTGTGGGTTGCGTGTGTGTTCATTATTGCACTTGTTCCATGTGTTCACTCGATTGTGGGGGTGGGGGGGTGGGAGTGCAGCCCCTCCTCCCCTGCTTGTCTCACCAAGGAGAGAGGGTGGGATCGTTCTGTGAGTGTGTTTGGGGGTGTGTGTGATGCCCCTGTTCCAAACTAAGGTGTGAAAGGAGCAGAGTCGCCCTTGTTTTCCCAAGGGAGGGGGTCAAGAACACGTGGGGAGGATCTCCCTTCCACGTACGTGTGATCTGTGATCTCCTGCTCGCTCCCACAGTGGCTTCTTTGGGGAGCCAGATGCCTTCCCTATGTTCGCCACCAACAACCGAGTGAAGAGGAGGCCCTCCCCTTATGAGATGGAGATTACTGATGGTGAGTGTCCCTGCCCCCACCTTTGTACTCCCCCTCACGCTGATTAGAGCCCCCCCCCCCCAGGTGGGGTCGTCAGGGACTGCCCCGTAGGTGTCTCACACAGCTGGGCCAGCTGCCTTGGGGGACCCGAGTCCACCAGAGTCCCCGCCCTGCAACTGACCTGGGACTAGGGGAAGTCGTGGGTAGGGCTGGGGGGCCACCCGCATGGTCCTGGGAAGAGGGAAATGGCGGCGAGGACACACTGTGGCAGTTAGCCCAGACCTCTGGAGTCAGTTGTAGTCCCCACTGTAGCTCGGTTCCTGCACCTGGCCAGAATCACAGGGGAGGGCAGAACATGTGCCCCCCCCCCCAACCAGGCACTGCCCCTCAGGGATTTCGTGCCCCTCCCAAGTCCTTTTTGGAGTCTGGAATCTGCTCCCTGCCTGAAATTGCACATTTAAGGGCCTTGTCCCAGGTCTCTATATTGTGGGGCCATCTCGTCCCCCGTTCCACACCCAGAGGCGAGAAGTGGAGTTCCCATCCTGAATCATAGATTCCCTGAAGAGGCCCTTGGCACTACTATAGTGAACTACCTGAGTAGTCTTTGGCGCTGAACTTGGGGGAAGGGGTTGGATGAGTGGGAAATTTGGAGTATCCCCTCCCTCTTCCCAGGGTTGGTCTGATGTAGTAGATGGGACCCAACACCAGGGGGCAGGAGAGCAGGCTCTTCAGAGCCTAGGACTTGGAGCAAATCCCTGGGGCCGCCAGTGCTTCAGCCTGGATGGGGCCTGGGGCTCCGGTGGGAGGGGCAGCTGAGGCCTTGAAGCCACACTGGGTTTATTCAAGGAGCCACTAGGAGGGATATGTATTGAGCTGGAGCTTCTGGAGAGGAGTCCTCTTTGGTGTTCTGGAGGGGAGGAAGCCTAGAGTCTAGACAAGGAACAGACCTCATAAGACCTGGCCAGCCTGGGATGGGGGTGTAGGTCCAAGAGGGAAGGGTGATGGGATGTCAGTGCTGTTAGGTTAGAGGGCGGGGGGGGGGGGGGGGGGTATACCAAACAGGAAGTAGGCAGGGCCAGTCTCGAAGTTCCCCAGGGAAGAGGCATTTTCTGCAGAGCAGAAGCAACAAGAATCAGGCATAGAAGAGAGAAAGGAGGAGAGGGGCAAGGAGGTGGGGATTTGGGAGCAGTGCAGAAGTATAAGGAAACCATTACTCATAAATGTCACTAATATTTACTGAGCACCTACTCAGTGCCTGGCCACGGAGAGGCAGAGGACGCAGATGGATGGACAGATTCGGGCAAGAGGAAGGTGTGAGAGGTGGGAGGCACCTTGGCACCTTGCCAGAGAGGAACAGACAGAAATGGAGGTGTGGGGGTTGCAGAATCTGTCCATGAGACTTTGAAGTCAAAGATTTAACCAGAAGGAGTCCACAGACTGGAACTAATGCAAGGTGTAAAGTCAGAACTTGGTGTGGATTCCTACTGTTGTATTTTCCTTGCCCTCAGTTTCCTCATTTATAAAGTGGGGAGAGTCATCGCTTCCTCACACACAGATCGCTGAAAGCATACAGTGGGGTAAAGTGTTTTTAGGGCCTGGCTCGGAGTAGGTGCTCCTTGTGGAGTTCTGTCTAGCTGTAGCTGTGACAGCACTTATAATGCCCCCTCCCCATCTAGGGGCTCCCTAAAGATCAGCCAGCATTAGCCATGGAGCAGGGATGGTCCTCCCTATGTCACAGCTGAGGGACACCCCTCTGTCTGGCCTGGGGGCCAAAGAACATGGAGTTATTTCCTTTGCAGCAGCCCAGAGTAGGACTGCCAGCATGCGTGCTTGTTTTTCCCAGCTTGGGTCTGGCCTTTGGCAGAATCAGCTGGGCTGGGGCCTTTTGGGGTTTAGAAAGACAGTTTTCGAGGCACAGTGGGCAGGGGGTGAGTGAGCCTCCCTGAGAGAATACGATGTGTGTGTGTGTTTGTGTATGTGTGCATGTGTGTACATGTGTGTAGGTGTGTGTGCATGTGCATGTAAGAGAGAGAAAGATGATGGAGAGAAGTGCTGGCATGGAGGAGCTGTCCCAGCCTCAGCCTCAGTGAAATTAGCAGTGGGTCTTAGATGACGCCTTGACCCTTCCTCTCCTCATCTCCCCCCTACCCAAGTTTCCCCATTCTGAACTCTGGTTCTAGGGGTCATCGAAGAGGGCAGACAACTCTCCCAGGCCTGGAAGTTCCTTCAGTGTGCAGAGCTTCCTGATGACTGCTGGGAGCCTTGCTGTGTGCCTCAGTATTGGGGAGGGAAGTGACCACCTCAGCCGGGAGCTCAGGAGCACTTGCAGGGCCCTCTCCTGTTTTCTCTGGCTTTGGGCATCCCAGGCCAGGCTTGGACATTTTGTGCAGTGCCTTGAACACCGTAGGTGCTCGGTACATGCATGCTGGTGTCTGCCACTGCTCCACAAGTCTTAGTACACGAATATAGTCTGAAATTGGTCTAGTCTGTAATCAGTGCATTGTAGACCTGGAGAGACCGAGGCAGCCCGCAGACACCTGCTCAGAGCCTCAGGCCATGCCTGTGCGTGGGCCGTCTCTCCGCGCGCACCTCTTGTAGGGGAGAGAGCCCACAGGGTGGGTCCTTTTTCCCCTTGGCTATACGCTCTACTCCATTCCCCCTCCTGCCAGCATGATCAGTTAGCAAACACTTACCAAACCCCTGCTCTGGGTTTTCCATCACCCTTAGTATAAAGCCCCCACCCTTGCTGCAGAGACTTTATGGGGTCTGCACCCAGCCTACTCTGATCACACCCACACTGATTAGCCTGGCTGGCTTCAGCCATTTTCCAGCTTGGGGCCTTTGTACATACAGTTCCCTCTTCCCTTCCTGTGGCTGGCTGGCTCTTCTTCAGCCTGAAGTTCTTACCTTCTAGATGTCACCTTCACCAGTGTGCCATCCTCAACCACCTCAGCTAAATGTAGTGGCTCCTTTCCATATTTTATTGCATTCAACCTCCTCTTCATTTGTTATTTGTTTGCTCCTTGTTCTCATCTGTCATCACCATTAAAATGGAAGTTCCGTTAGAGCAGGGACCCTGTCTGTTTTGTTCATCATATTCCTTAGTGCCTGGTTATTAGCAAATAACTGATGGATGGATGATAATAGCTGACATTTATTGAATGTTTAATCTGAGGCAGGTATTGTCTTAAGGACTTTTCCTGAGTTAGTTTTTAGATCCATGTTACAATCTAGTATTACTCCATTTTATACATGTTACTAGTGTTAGCTCCACTTTAAAGATGATGAAACTAAAGCACGGGGAGTTTAAGTAACTTGCCCAGAGTCACTCTCTAGTGAGTAATAGTCAGGAATTCAACCCAGAAAGTCTGGCTCCAGAGTTTGTCTTTCTGACTAGTGTGGTATGTCCTCTTGGCACAATGAATGAATGAATGAATGAATGAATGAATGAATGAATGACAAATGGTCCCTGTCCTCAAATGTCTCACAGCCCAGACAGGGCGACAAGCATAGACATGTACACTAATGGTCAAAAGTGATGGAGATCAGGGGGTTAGAGGGCCGAGATGGTTGGTGAGGTCTGTCCGAAGGGGTTGAGGGAAATCTTCAGAAAAGAGGAAACAGATGAATTGGGTTTCGAAAGCAGAGTAGGAGTTTTCTAAGTAAAAGGTAAGAAGGCGTTCTGGGTTTCCCCAGTTTTCCAATGGCTGGCTTCTCTTCTTCCCCGCAGGAGAAGGTGCCTTGGGGCACCTCCATCTCACTGTTTTCACTCCTGTCCCCCTACCTCCAGGTCCTCACACCAAAGTCGTGCGACGCATCTTCACCAACAGCCGAGAACGGTGGCGGCAGCAGAATGTGAACGGGGCCTTTGCTGAGCTCCGCAAGCTGATCCCCACTCATCCCCCAGACAAGAAGCTCAGCAAGAATGAGATACTCCGCTTGGCCATGAAGTACATCAACTTCCTGGCCAAGCTGCTCAATGACCAGGAGGAGGAGGGTACCCAACGGGCCAAGCCTGGCAAGGACCCCGTGGTAGGGGCTGGTGGCGGAGGCGGTGGGGGAGGGGGCGGTGCGCCTCCAGATGACCTCCTGCAGGACGTGCTCTCCCCCAACTCCAGCTGCGGCAGCTCCCTGGATGGAGCCGCCAGCCCGGACAGCTACACGGAAGAGCCGGCACCCAAGCACACGGCCCGCAGCCTCCACCCTGCCATGCTGCCGGCTGCCGATGCAACAGGTCCTCGATGATGGGGATGGGGCCACTCAGGGCAGCCTCAGGCCTCAGGCCGCTGGGACCGGGGGCTTCAGCGCGGGTGGGGTGAGGATTGGGCCTCTCTGAAGCAGGGCAGTGGACTTGACGAGCTTTCCTTGACGTCTGAACTTTGGGAAGTCCTCACTGCCCCCCCCACACACACCCCCTCCCGCCCCAGGTCTGGCTTTCCTGTTTCCTGACTCAGTGGTAGAACAGAAAAATGGAGCAAAGTGGTAGGTACTTTTTATGAAGACGGCACGGTCTTCCCCTCCCCCAGATACCTAAGACTTCTCAAGTAAAGAGCTCAACTGGCACTGCTTTCGGCCTGGAGCTTACAGCCCCCGTCTTTGCTGAGACTTGGGGTTGTCGGCTCTCACCTGGGGCGCCCGGAAGCCTCTGCCTTGCCTTCAGCCCCTCCCAAGCTGGCTGGAGTGGCTTGTGTGGCCTCTCAGTCCGAATACATAGGTACCCGGTAGCTGCCCATTTCCGGGTGAGCCCCATCTTCACCCAGGCCCAGGTTGGTCCACCCATCTTGCCAGCAGCTGCAGAGAGTCACAAGCCTCGAGATGCCTTCTTCAGGGCCTGGTTGAAGAAGATGGCCAGTGGACAGCCTGCTCCCAACTAGCTGGGCCAGAAGATCAGAAAACCCGGTAGCCCTTACTCTTGCCCCAGGGAATCAGAGCTCTGCTTTCTCCCCACGGAGACTTGCCTTCCCAATCTTTATGGCTGTGGGGACCGCGTCTGTAGCTGGGACTGCACCCGGTTGGGCCTCATGTGAAGGCAGAGAGAGGGGAAGTGATTAGAGTGAAGCTGAGCAAGAGCTGTGTGGGGCTGTGGGTTCAAATCCCAATGGCGTCTCAGAGCTTCCCGCCGGTAGTCTCAGCTCACCTTTCATACGGTGAGCGAGTGCCAGTGTGCCGATGGGCATGTGCTTGTGCTGAGAGTGGACACACAGCCCCATCTGTGTGTCCTCGCAGATGCTCAGGGGGACCTTCTTGCCCTGGGAGGTCTGCTTGCTGATGGTCTGGTCTGTGTTCTGAACTCAATTGGACACAAAGCCTGTCCTGTGAATTTCTGGCATTTGGGATTTTTGCTTGACTTCAGTTATGGGTGGGATCTTTAGGTCTTGATAGGACCCAGGCTCCAACCCCCTTCTGGGGCATGAGAAATCCAGAGACCAGGCCCTGGCTGAGACCCAGACATATGCACAATCATAGCAGAATCTTCTACACCCCTCGTTCATGCAGCTTTCGGTCATCTAGGTTGTGTATGGGAGGCTGGCTTACTGCAATAAGAATGCCCCCCTCCAAAAGTTGTACGTGGAAGTTTTGTAAATCGAACCCTTATCCTTCATCTTTTAAAGAATTACTACCGCAGTCCTTTTGTAAAGTGAAGAATTTTTTTGTAGAGTGGACCACTGCCCCTTGTTGACCTCTCATGTCAATCCACATTGTGTGACATGGTTTTCTTAAGGCCAGGCCTGCCTGTGACATGCATTCCAAGCCCAGGGAACAAACTCCATACAAGTCCTATATACCTGTCATTGTACCCACAAGTCACCCCTGCCTTTGGGGTTAGAGGGAAAACAGTCCCTCCTTGTGAAGGACCTTGAGCACAGCTGAATGTAGACAGCATGATCCCTGCTCCCTCCCCTCCTTCTTAAGTTGTGGGGTCCAGTTTGTGAGTAGGGGAGCAACATGGTAACTCTTATAGCACCCAGACTCTCCATCCATTTCACACCTCCAGCATCCTATTTTGATGAACATCAGGATTGGTTTCTTTCCAATACTGGAAGCCCCATCTGTGTAAAAATCAAGCACCTCACCGAGGCCCTAAGGCTGTGTTGGCTTCCTGGTGGATCAGTTTGACTTGGAGTGAAAAGTGGCCACAGTATGGATGAATGGAGAGGATTTAGGAGATGATCACACATTCTATCAGGAACTCAAGCTTCTGGCTTCCTCTTCTCTCAGACAGGCATGGATTAAGTTACCTCTCCCAATGTCAGTATCTCATAAATACCCTGGCTTGGCCTGTCTCCTAGGGCTGTAGTGTAGACCAAGTGGAATCATGAAAGTAGAAGCATTTTGAGACCAGAAAGAACTCTTTGGCCCTCAATATCACCCCTGCAGTGGGGTTTCTCCCCCTGAGCCCAGGGCCCCTGGGCAGAGGGCCAGCCTGCCCGATTGCATAGCATTTGAGTAGTCTAGGTTCCAAACCACTTTTGCCTGAGTTATCCTGATTGTCCTCATTTCTCCAGATTGGCCTCATTTGTGTCTCCTTCCAAGGGAAGGCACAGGAGTAAGAATGGAAAAAGAACTGGGCAGAATATGTAAAGTGCAATACAGCTTCCCCAAACGGACCTGGGTAGGGAATGGCAAAGCTTCATGCCTTTGCAGGACCTACAGAAGATAAAACATTTTTATTTTCATGTCCAACCACCCCCTCCCCCGCCCAGCATACCCTTCTTCTTCCTCTGCCTCCTCGCCTGTGAAGAAATGGCAACATTCCAAGAATCCTATCTCTGCAAAGGGAAGAAATGTAAAGGGGAAAAGAAACTGGAGAGCAGAGATGGTTGTAATGGAGGGTTTCCCAGCTTTTCAGGAGAATTCACATGCTTTTGTCGGTGGTGGCCAATGACAAGATGGTACAACCTTTATCCTATTCCGAAAACAGAACAAAGGGCACAGCATCTGTGGTCAGCCGACACCTATCTCGGCCTTTGGGGGTGGTCTGGTCTCGTACTTGTGATTTCGATGGTACGCGGCCCCCACCGAAGGCTTGCCCCTGCCCATGTACATAGCGCATTGTCCCTGTGGGCAGGCCCAGCACTTTCCGTCAATGTTGTACTGTACATGATGAGTTGCGTTGGTCTCTGCATTTTTCTGCAGAAGGGGAGTAACTGCTCCAGGTACCTTGACCTTTGTACAGCCCGGAGGCCAACACTGTGGGCGTGACTCTTTAGCGACAAAACCCTTGTGGTGATGATGTGTGTATATACATAAGGATATATTGGGAAGATTTCTAAATAAAAGTTTTGCAAAGGGACCTGGACTCTGTACTTGGATCTTGTGTCCCAGGCCTGAGAGTTGGGACATTAAAAGGAAGAGCCTGACAAGAGGCTGTGTCCCTGGGAATGGAGGGGCCTCCAGGACTCAGCTGCCCCCTACCCTGAGGCTCCCCGCCTTAGGGGTTCCATTCTTTTCCCTTTCCCAGGCCTCACAGAGGGTCCCTTCTGAGCACTGTGCACCCACACTTGTGGCGCAGGGCCACCCTGCAGGCAGTTCCCTCTGTGTGCTGGGCTCAGCTTCCATGGCTGGGGTGGTGGCTTTCCTCAGAAGTTCAGGACAGATTAAGGTCTCACCAGAGGATGGTCCCAGGTGCTCTGATGACTCCAGGGAGGCTGTAGCTCGAGTACCTGACTCTGGAGGACTGGGGGGTACGGGTCTCACGTGGGGCTCAGGGACAGCCTGAGGCTTTGGGAGAAGTGATCGGTGAGGGGAGGCTTGGGAACGGGAATGCGGTAACAGACAGAACTCTGGGCTCGGTGGGCAGAGAGGGCTCCGCCTATACACTGTTGGGACTTCAGAGACCTCAGTGGGTTAGCATTTCCAAGGGAGTACCAGTCCTTTCTTCATTCATTTAACCGCATTTTTTGAGCCCATACAACGGACCAGGTGTTATTCTAGGTACTGGAGATCCAGCAGTGAAGACAGCCAGGATCCCTGTTCTCGAGTTGCTTGAATCCTAGCAGGGAGGCAGTAGGCACACAGACACATACAGCACGTTAAATATGTTGAGTACAGTGTAGATATAGTGAAGATACAGCACAGTAGAAGGTGATTAATAGTAGGGAGAGAAGATGTGCCCAGAAGGGAACTCAGGGGGCCCCTGGATAGCTCTGGCCCATTTGGGGTCAGCCTAGCTCATTCCGCCAGGCTTTGATCTTGGCTGCCTCTGTCCCAGGGAGCTAGCAGGGCTAGGGCCGGGCAGAGCCTGTAGCGAAGCTCCTGAGCTTCTAGAAGACTCCCAAGTATACATCTCCCTGGCCCAGGACAAGGAGGCCCTTGGGCAGATAGGATGATGAGACTTAGTCCTGGGACAGGAGAAGTGGGGGTTGGGTGGGAGAGGGGGTGGGGGAGAGAGAGAGACGCATGTGTATGCAAGCAGTAGAGTGACATTTCAGAAGCTAAGGTAAGAGGGGGATTTGGGGTCGAGGAGAAAGTGGTAGCCGAGGCCAACACAACGAAAGCTGAGGCTCTGGTGAGAATGGCATCTGGAGGGGAGCAGAATGTGAAGGGAGGAACACCCATTCCCAGGAGGACCTGTCCCAGGAGAGGGCAGGGACTCCACTTCCAGAGGGGTGAGGAGGACCTGACTCTGCGGCCAGCAGGCAGAGGCTGTGGGGCTATTGACTGCCCAGCTGGGCCAGGCCTTGGGGGGTCGTTTGACTACTGTCCCCATCTTCAGATAGGAAGACGGAGGCCCAAAGAGGAAAGGAGTCTTCCCAGGGCCACACATCTCATGGACAGTGACAATAGTAGCAGGCAGGGCAAGGCTACTTCCACCTCAGGGAAGAGACTGTGTTCTCACCATTCCACCGTTTGCTTTCTCTGCTCCTGTTGTACTCTCCTTTCTGTCCTGGCTGCCATTTTGTTTTTAACCGTTCGGTTTTACACCTTTTGTTTCTACCTATCATCTGCTCCCACCTTCCTTTTGTCTGGCTAACTTGACCCCAGCACCCAGAAGTCTGTCCTGACTCTATGGGGCCTTCCTTCCCTCTGTGCTCACCTGTCTGCTTCCACAAACATGAGCTCCCCAAGGGCGAGACCATCCCTGATTCGTCTCTTGGCCTCTGGTGCCCCATGGCAGAGCTGGCATGGGATCCTTTCAATATTGACTGAATGAAGAGATTCGCAGGTATGGAAACTCCTAACTCAGTGTTGAGGCCACCATGGAATGAGAGGGTGGGTGGGGTAGATGGGTCATCCCTACAAAGAGGCTTCCGGCAACTTCTCCCTGCCCCCTCCCCCCAAACCACTGTTCAGGGCTGGGGCAGATGGATAGCTCTGTCCCTGGGGCTGCTTCTGTTGGCAGGGAGGCGGGGTGTGAGCTTTCTTGTGGGGGGCCCCCAGCAGCCTGGTTATCGGCCTGGTTATTGCACTGGACCTGGGTGGGGCGAGGTGTGGCTGATGAAGATCAGGAGGCCGTTATCCCCGTGCTCACAGCAGCCCTGCCCCCTTGTGCTGCCCACGCCCCTTTCTCTACTTGCAAAACAACTAACGATGCTCTCTCTGTCCCTACAGCCCATGTGAGC